ACAAAAAACAAAAAACCCTCGGGCATCATTATTTCTGAGTTGTACGTTCGATCCTTACTGCTGTCACGTAATAAGATAAAATCGTGACTCGCTGTGACCCTGTGATTAGCAAATGGATCCCACAGATTATTATGACTGTAACAGAGAATTCCATCGTCAGTGCTAGATCCATAATTGTAGCTTTCTACAGAATAGGAAGTCGTCATAATTCTTTTTTTTGTATGAATTTCTGAGGTGAGGAATTATTTGTTATACTATTTATATTCAGACTAGAAATAAATGCAATATAGGAACTGCTAATCAAGAAAAAAATGCACATGACAGAAGCAATCAAATCATAACAGCCAGAAGAAGGAGCAGCTGCAGCCTAATCAGCAAAGGTTTAAGGTTTTCTGATAATCCAACACATTTGGTGACATAGTGGCTGTGAGTTCAATCACTGGGTCCTGATTGAAAAGTGTGTAATTGCACTCAGTGGAAACGGGTGAAAGTAAATGAAAAGAACACTAAATGAAATAAGAACTAGACGATATCACCAAAAAGCAGTGGTACAGTAACAGTCTAGTCTCGTAAATTAAATAGTGGGTTTAGTTCAGAATTCCTTGTAAGTTACCCAGATCGATATACACCTGAGTAAAACCGTTGGACACAACGGCCGAAACGTTGTGATAAATACAACAAAAACGAGGGCAATATTCCTATTATAGTGTCATAATTCTTATTTCACTTTTATGGATTTTATATATGATAAAGAAATATCATCATAAAAGAGGGATAATTCATGTTGGTCGTTAATGAACGATACAAAATTTGTTCTATATTTAATTTTGCTAAAGTTTTCCTTTTGTTATCGGAACCAAATATTTAGGCAAATGTTTGAAAATGATTCAAACATAAAATAATTATAACATAAACATTTGCTTTGTGTCTCTAGATATTTTATTATAGTAGCTAAGTCTGGCACACGGATACAGGGAGCGCAGTATGTCTTTTGTTATAGTCTCTTTTAAACGATTATTTTTTCATAAACTTTTAAAACAGCAACTGCTTCTCAAACCTCTCAATGACAATGCGACAGCAAGCGTATTTATATTCATGATCAGAATGTAATACAAGGACCGAAAGATGCACACCTAAGTTTCATACATTATGAAAACGCATTTGTTAGAGTATGGCACAAGTATTTATTTGAACTGTTAGGGAAACTTGATATATTTATGTAGAACGTTAGGCTACACCATTATATGTATAGTGATGACACTCCGACGGATACAAATAGAAATGAATTGAATAAAAAATAACAAAAGAAAATACTTTGTATTCTCCTCGGATTTAATTGATATTTACAGCAGGGTTATCCTAAGGGAGCTGAAGATTCTACCAAGATGATTTATTGTTGAACAAAATCATGACATAAAATACGCAGATGACACTGTATTGATGGCAGATACTGAAAGAAATCTACTGTAGCTCGGTAGCAAGGTTGTAAATGGAAGCAGGAAGGATAGACTTACCATCAATTGGCAGCAAGAAAAAATCACGAAATACGAGTTACAAAATGGAGGTGCCAAAATCAAACTGGTGAGGGAAAATGTAACACCGAAATCCGAAGTTACGTTAGAATTGTTGGATTTATTCGTTTCTATGGCTTATCAAACCTTTGCAGGCTATTTTTGAGATGATAATGTGTAGCGAAGAAAACTGCGAATTACCTCGTCAAAACAACCGACAGCGTGTTGCGTGTATCCTACGACGGAAAATGTGGCAAAAAAAGAAAGATACTTGACGAAAAAAAGGACACGATATGCTGAAGACTGAATATTCAAATTAGAAACAAGTTTGTCGTTGGAGAAGCCATAAAAGTATTTTAGATATGCTAATATTGTGTGTCCTCTCCCAGTCGTCGACAAATGAAACGAAAATGCTTGGTCGATAAACGCATTTTATGTTCTCGAATCAGAAAACAAAGACAAAACTCGTGCACTTGGCTACCGCTGTCTTCAGTAAGTGATTTTTCTGATTGGTTTCGTGCATTGTGTAACTGTGGATCGAGATTTTGATATTTCATTCTGCCTCTGATATTCGATTTAGAACTTGCGATTTATTCTCTTCGTTGTGTAAGTAATCTGAGACAAATATTTCCTTTGTAATCCAAGAACTCTTACATAATGATTTCGTAATACAAGACTTACTGATTACCCCACCGTTTGGGGAGAAGGCGTGGGTTCATACCTTGCCCAAGTATGTTTGCGCGTAAATGAACATAACGAATAACGTAAGTGTATATAACGAACACAGCGGGAATTGGAAAACGACACTCCAATTTACTATTCCGATACCCGTTAGAAGGGAGACCTACCAGAGAAAAAAACAACAAAAAAACAATGTATTATGAAGCAGTAGAAAATCGTGAGAAATAAGGAAAACGGTAATTTAAATATATATATATATATATATATATATATATATATATATATACAATTAAACACACTATTTACATTGGCATTTCAGTGAAGTAATGGAAACAAAGACGTTACAATCATAGATACTCTTTTTCCAACCGAAAATTGGAATACCACACTGATTGAAAGATCAGTGTGGTATTAATTAATGAAAAGATGGGGGGGTACTATAACCCCGAAAAAAAAAAGGAATGATGTTAGTAGGACCCGTCCACCACACATTTATACTGTCTTCCACACCACAAGTATACTGTCTTCAAAGAAAATGAAGACCTCTCGCTAAGGGAGAAGAAAAGAATTAAAAATTATGGGCATCAGAAAATTCAAAATGAATCCACTCAAAATAAAAAGCGTAGAAAAAACAAACTTTGGAGGTTGAGAATCTATTTATTATAAGTGACAAATTGGTGAATTGGTCATTAAAATACGTAGGTAGGAATGTTGTTGTCGTTCTGCCCGTTTGGCTGTATGTCTTTTCGTTTTCTTGGCTTCGTCTTCTTGTCCTTTGGCAAAAGTGCATTCGATATCCTGTCCGCGCATGCCTTGGACACATAATGAAAAAAACGAATCTTGGCAATTTTGATAATCACAAGATATATTAAAGACATTAGAGAAAGAAGAAAAGAGGAAAGCAGCGACTGACATCCGTGAGGAGCTTTTGTAATTGAACGTCAGAACAAGGATGGGTAGTGATAATGTAAAGCCATTTGTCCTTACAGTTCATATTAGACACCAGTTTCATTGACAATGCATCTTCTTACATTCAAACGCTTGTAGCTTAAAACATTTCCCTCGGTCAGATAATCACCCACAGGTGGAAAACAAAACAACTTTTAGCAGTAAACGAGATTTTATTCTTGAGTTGTAATCTACTGCTATAAACGAGCGAAGTTGAGATGTGTATGTGAATTGGGAGGTGGATAGTCTATCGAGTGTCTTTACTGTACGTTATTCTTCAAGGCCTGCTTTATCGCTGTGTGTGCCTTTTTCGGGGTAATGGCCCGTTTTATAGCTAGCATGGTTCATTGTCCTGTTGTCTTCATTCTAAAAAAGCACCTTATCTTCATTCAGCGAATTCTCTTTGTCTGATCCGCTCATTGAAGCCCAATTCACGATACTGATAACCACAGATCGAAAATATTCCAAAACAATTTTATGCGACAGGTCCAGCTGTTTTCAGTTTTACAAGACCTCACCTCCACAATGTTAAAAGCTAAAAGAAGTTGTAGTGTGCCATTACCTAAAGGGACGCGACACATAGAAAAAGATTGTAGATGGTGATTATTACTCGTTAGGTTCGGGGACATCGATTATCCCATAAATGTGGACTTGTGATAAACTCAGCTTCCCTAATTCAATTGTTTCGTGTGCCACACAGTAGACTTATGGTCTGTAGAGCATTATAACTGTGTAGTGAATTTTTGTTTGCCACGGATTCGTTTTAGCTCAGTTCGATTTTAAGTTTTATACTTTTGAATGCTCTTGTATTGAAAGTAAAAATGAGTGAAATATACAGGACGAAAATAAAAATCATATTGTAATTCAACTTCGACATGATATAATGGTTAGCAAATATGTCTCGCTAGGTCAATTTCGACCTCAATAGTTACTCCATGCTTTCGGCATTGTGCCACAACTAAACTACTTTGATTAAACCAAGGCTTTGTGCGACATCTCAGCTACGCTTAGAAAATAACCATATTATAATTCTGCTTGTCACTTAGCTCCTTGATTAATTAGGAAACACCTTACGTCCTGTCATATAAAAAAATGGATTATTCCGTTTTGACCGCGGGGAAAGGCTGCATGGTTTCATAGAAAAAAAGAAAGAAATGAAAAAATGACAGCGTAAAAGAAAAGGAATATAGACGTGACACAGGCCCGAAAGTATGGGGCACCCAATGCGCATCAAACTCACTACTCAGTCGTAAGTGTCCAAATGAGCCAAGATTGTTAACCACTACACCACATCGACACGCCCGTAAATGCGACACAAGGCCAAAAGTAGGGGGCATCCAGTGAGGATCGAACTCACTACTCAGTCGTAATTGCTCTAGATAGATAAGCTTGCTAACCATTACACCACCTCGAGGTACCCAAAGACTGTACCAATAGTAATCGGAGCTATGTGCAATATGAGAAAAGGAATGGGCAACTTTACTAACAGTATCCTAGGTAACATTAATATAAAAGTTGCCAAGAAGATCGCCCCACTAGGAACATATCGTATACTATGAAAAGTTCTATCAATTAAATGATAATTTTCCTATAGGGTCTAAGGACCATAGTATGGAGCAAGCTCTATAGTATACAAAGCAGGAAACTCAACATAAACAAATAATAATAATAATATTAATAATAATATCAATAATAATAATAACACCTGGAACAATAATAAAAATGTAGAGCAATACTGAGAACTGCTTTCAGTTGATGATTTATATGATCCAGTTGAGTGTACTGATGTGAAAACAAACAATACTACCAACAGTTCTTACAAAATAGATGTTAAAATTTATGTTGTCATTATAAACTAATTCAATCCATTTGTGCAAGAAGAACAAAGGGAGAATAAAGACAAACCGTTGGGAATCTCATTGCAAAGGAGAAAGTGAAAAGACATAAAAAGCGAATTTCTTGAAAGTAAGAAGAAGACAAAAAATAACATATTAGTAGAATATCAGAAAATAAAGGAAGGCAAATAACCTGAAACAGAATAAGAGAGAGGGAGGGAGAGAGAGAGAGGGGGAGAGAGGGAGAGAGAGGGAGAGAGAGAGAGGAGAGAGGGAGAGAGAGGGAGAGAGAGGGGAGAGGGAGAGGGAGAGAGAGAGAGGGGGAGAGAGAGGGAGAGAGAGGGAGAGAGAGAGGGAGAGAGAGGGAGAGAGGGAGAGGGAGAGAGAGGGAGAAAGGGAGAGAGAGAGAGAAGGGGATTAGTAAGAGGGAAGGAAGCTCAAAGGTAATAACAACTGAACTATTAATACAGTGTAACCCGGATATAAGAGAAACCCGGATATAAGAGAGATTGTCTCTGGTCCCAAATTACAGCCTGTGTTAATGTATATAAAATAGACCAAACCCGGATATAAGAGAAACCCGGATATAAGAGACTTCTTCTCCGGTCCCGACAACTCTCTTATATCCGGGTTATACTGTATATGCAAGAAAGGTAGAAAGAAAGGATGGTCAAAAAAGTTTTAAAAACGAATTCAAATTAGGAAGGAAGCTTCATTAAAATAATAATAAAAAGCAAAATAAGAAAGATAGAAAATATTGATCAAGAAGAATACAAAAAATAGACAGAATAACAAAAAAAAAAAAAAAAATTCACGTGCTTCGATCGAACGATTAAACAGGGAAAGATTTCCTATAGACGCCGGTCAATCGCCACCTTTTCGCTGATAAAGGGTATCTCAAAGTCTATCAAATTGGGACGAAAACCGATCACTTTTAGAGCGTGAAAAAGATAAGACGGCCGAAAAAGGGCGGCTGCTAAAAAAATAAATCCATAAAAAAGTGAATAAATTAATAAAAACGGACTAATTCTAGTACAAAAATAGAAGCTTAACTGGGCACCTTTAGAAACAAAATAAAAAGCCATTTCCTCAAGAGAAAAAGGAATCGATTATAAAAACAGAATTCTATAAAGTGTATAAAGTCATAGGCAGTATCCTTACCAAAATGTCTGAACACTTCCTGTTATGATGTCGATATGTTTCATATTAAAAAAAAATACTCCACAATAGGGCACTTCATTGTGATTAGCAATTTAATCTCGCTGGATCAATTACGATTAAATAGTGAGATCGATCTCTACCCTGTACTCAATATTTGCCACCTTGTGCCACGTGTAAGTTTCGCTTATTAAACTATTTCTCAGAAATGAGTTGATTCCAGTGTACTGTATATAAAAGAAGAAAGAGAGAATGAATTAGAAATTGTATCGGCCCTTTAGGTGTAGGTTCGTTGATTGTACATGTCAAGTGATATTCCGTTATTTAATATCGATTTTTTGTATAGATCAACCAGTCAGAATAGAACTCACTAGTAATGGTCAACAAGGTTATTCTCGGTAACCATAACTCCAAATAGAGGTGCCCTTGTAATTGTCCTGGAATAAATGAGGAATATTAAACAAGAAATTTAAACAAACGACTTAGAAACCTCAAACCATAAAAAAACCTCTTCGCGTAGAAGTCAAGCTCCGATCTAAAATAATTTAAAAATACATTACGTACGCATATAGTTATATCGGTTAATTTTGGCCATTTTCAACATCTTATATAGTACTTTATTTTTTAATCATTTCTCCCCAGTAAGGCAATAAAGACAGATAAAATGAACTACTGAGAGTAAGATAATATAAAAAAAAAATCACTATTATTTCGAGAACAACAAAACAACATGAATTATGAAGTCGGAAGATAACGATTTGTATTTCATTTAAATTTTTGAAGACCAGTCTTGACTGAAGAAAGAAGAAGCCAGAAGAAAATTCCCCAAGCCTCGAGTGCGAGAGAAGAAACTGGAAAGTTCGATTTCTTTGTGAATTTCTTCAATTTCGGCATCGTTCCTTTATAATAGTGGATACATCGCTGGCATACACGGTGTAATTGATTTATGTAGTAGCGTCAAATCATGTAGTACCAATAAGTGACGGAAGAATATTTTCACCGGTAGACGTAAAGCATTTTTAACGGAAGTAGGTAAACAGATCTAGACCACATGAAAACTCCATTCTTGTCCACTACAACTGTGTGTCGGATACAGTACGCGAATCAAATTCGACTTTAATCCAGCGTTGAGGAAGCAATAGTTATACTTGTTGAACATCCTGGTCGTCGACTTTTCTCGAATCATTCGTAACAAATAAAAGTTATCTTTGATATCCCGGCCATTTACAGCAGATATATGTTTGGGAGCTATTAAACGATTCAACATATCCGGTATTAGTTATTTTTTTTTAATATTTAACTGTATTAATTATTCGAAATAGCTGAAAATTATGAACTTACTATGTTTGATACTGCATAGCAAATTCCCAACATTACTGGTGAAACGTTGGGATATATACCCCGGTTTCTTTCAATTGGTGAAGAGCATTACGGATAAGGTATAAACGCCTACGTTATCGTGAAGAACAATTCTTAAGGGAAGTCATATATTTCCAGTGTCGTCTCCTTCGACATTCTTCAGTACAACCCTAATTACCCTCGGTTTTAGAGGTACGCATTTAGCAATTTTATTCTCCTCGAAACGAGGAAATTTATTTCAATAGGCGATAAAGAGTAGATTCTTTTGTTTGTAGCCAAACATCGACAGCAAACGATGTGACATTGGCGGTATGCCAATCTATTGTGATTTAAAGCTCTTCACTCAGTTCGTAAGTCATGGCCGTTGTCTCGGCATATTATGCTTAACATAGCTCTACACTACCTTGAAAGTTTTGAAACAAGAGAGCCCTCTTTAACTTAGCTATAGTTACTTAATATGTATATCTCGATTTGAAAGCTCTGCTTTGTGAATATGACAACAAAGATGAGGACAAAATAGATAGTGTAAATTATCTATCTATCTATCTATATATATATATATATATATATATATATATATATATATATATATATATATATATATATATATTTGTTGCCATATTAACAACGTTTCTGCCGTTGTACTCTTCGGTCTTCTTTAGATGATTGGAATTTCGAACTGAACCCTTTATGTCGACCAACGGGGTTGATTATTCTACTTCCGCGTGCCATGCCTCCTCCTGGTATCAGTTTAATCCACTTGGCTATATAATGGATACAGTGGATATACAGACGCATTCGACTACAAATATGTATATAATATAGATACATAATATATATAATATAGATATATTCGATTACTAATAGCAGCAACAAATGGACTAATTCAACTTTCCAATTTCTTCCACCACTTATTTCAACCACAGTTTTAGTTAATTATCGTTTTACTGTTACTATTGTCTGGTGCAGGATATACTTCATATGCAATATGTGTTGAATTTCCAGCATCAATTAATCTGATTGTTTTTTTTAATTATTTCACCTCAAACAAGGCGATAAAGTAAAGGGTTTACTGAGTGCAAAAAAAACAAACTGTGAAAATATTATCGAGGAGAAAACAGAAAAAGAACAGGTTTCAAGACAGAAGATGACTATTGACCTTTCCAGTTGTTTATCGTTATTTAAGTTTATGCTAAACCTAGACAAGCATATAGTGAAAATCAACTACACTAGGAGAACTGGATCACACTAAAACTATTTATTCTTAACTAGAACTCGGCCGATGTATCCAGAATATTGTATCGAACTCCAGATACATCTATTTGTCCACTTAACCAAATTTTGATAGATATTTCGGAATTTATCGGCAAGATCATCTCTGCCAACATAATCATGAAACGGTGTTATATTTCTAGGAACATTACTGTTCATCGTCGGTGCATCTCCAAATATCTGGACGACCATTGAAGGAGAACTGACTTTTCCTCTTACCTAATTCTCATAGGTCAATTGAGAAAGACTCGCTTTTATGCTTCAACATCCAGAAAACAAAACAAGTAACGTTTCATCCCCAGCGTGCAGAACCTAGATTTGCTTCAATAATTATGAGCGGCCACAACCTTCTGTGAGTTTCTTTGCCATGAACTCTTATTGGGTCTGAAGGTTAACCAACCCTAAATTGAAACTCATAACTCATAAAATGCTGGAACAATGGTCAGTCCTTGAATTGCAGAAGAAAATGCTGCTTCTACTGCCATAATCTATCTTCACAAGAGTCAGATCAGAATCAACGCAGTAGAGCTTGCATATCAGGGCTTCTGATGCGCTGTCCTCATTGCCAAACTGTGACAATTCAAATGCATTTATGCTGCCTTGTGGGTGATGAATTATTTTCAAACCTGCTACCCTTATTCCACAAATATTGCTTGTCTATCACTACCGTATCTCAATTAGTATGGAAAATGTTCTAGCGAGTTACATTTTGTTATCACACCATAGATATTCATTGCTAAGGCCCGCAATACTATGTTCTTGTTGGCAAATTGTTCTCATTACCTTCGTATTGCTTTTGTAAGGAAGAAGTTCTCCACAACTTATATTTCGTAGAACGGACTCCTGATAAGATATTTCTTTAATCTCTACAATCTTAACCTCTTCAAGTCCAGAATCAGCCGATATCTATTATTATTATATATTATCTATTATATATTATGAATAATATCAATGATCAATTGGAGATATTAAAATGAAGCTGGTGCAGAAGTTTAAAGTATAGGGATTGTTTTAACAGAGGATGGAAAATGTGGCACCGAGATCCGAATAGGCATTGAACTAGAGAAAGAAGCATTCCAAAGGCTAAGCAAGGTGAGGAAAAACGGGAAAAAAATCTTCGTTAGAAACAAAGAAAACAGTGTTGAATTCCTTCTTATGCATCCTCTTATATGGCAATGAATCTTACAAAGTACGGGGAAAAAAACTAGAGGCAGCGAAAATGTGGTTCGACAGAAGGACACTGGAAATTCCATAGACGAAGCGATTAAGGAAAAAAATATGCCTTAAGGAAAATGACAACAGTAATAGCATTTATATTCAGAATCTGGAAAAGACAGCTGAAATTCTTTAGATAGATAATGAGGAAGGCGGGGTTGGAAAGCGTATTCCTCACTGGACATATTCCGGCCAAGAGAGATAGTGGAAGGGTGCAAGCTATTTACCTGACGAGCTTCTGTGAATGGATAGCACAACGGTGGTGTGAGAGCGTTAGAAAAGGGAGAAATACTTCTAAGGTGTACGAGCCATAGGATGTTTTGGAGAGCTATGATGAGCTATATATCCAGAAAGGGACGTTTCACATAGATGAAGTCTGAAATGAATGATCGTCTACGCTGAGAAAACACATGGCAATTCTTTGGACAAAAATAAGTGAAAAATAAAACAAGTTCCTCGAATTGCTACACAAATTTTTGACATAAAACAGTAAACGAATTAATTAAATTTTTCTGAACAGATAATATAAATCATATGAAATATAATGTATTAAAATATACATACATAAAACATATTTTAAGTGCCTAATATGACATGAATTGGATATAAAACAAAAACGAATAAAATAGAAGATAACATTTGCAATACGCTATATATGAGATGTATATGATTTTTATGAATCATGAATTCATTATTACTGTCTCGACAATAGATATGACCATAAATATAATTTAACAACATGGTTCTCCTGGAAAAATACACGTTCCTTATCAATTCGTTTTAATCTATTGTTGCTGCAATGCAGATTTTTCGATATATTTTCCCCATATATTATCTGTTTAAAACTTTATACAAAGTCTCGAGTGATTCATGCTAGATATCATGTAACGCCAAATCTCAAAATACCAGATTCTTACACAGAATTATTGTTTTTAATGTTATGTCCCTTCCTGATGTAGGCGATCGTGGCTCTCCACAGCTATCTTTTCTTTGTTATCTCTAGTCCGCTTTATTGATAAAGATAGTAGAAAACTTTCGCATTAAATTCAGAATTATTTTTTATGTAATAAAATTAAAAGAAATATCAAATATGGTAAATTTATCGATTATGTAAAACAACTAATTCGAAAATTTGAAAAAGGTAGTAAAAAATTAATCGGCAGGACTACTCAGTATTATTCAAGCAGCCATGTTGGAAAGA